GCTGAATGGGTAAGAGCCTTATGTGCTGGGTGTGTAAAACTATTAACGTTAGTTAGAAATGTTGGAGACCATCTGTGACCCAGAGCCAGGATGGAGTGTGAGCTGGGCATGAGCCAGAAAGAAAATGGAGGGGGGAAAGGAGGAACCGGACACGGTCTTTAAGCAAACAAGTCGGTGAGCTGAAATCAGAGGCTCTGAAAGAGTAGAGAAGTTTATAGCAGGTTTCTGCCATCCATACAGTGTCAAAACCTCACAGCGTTGTGTGTTAACAGCAGTGGGACACTGAGTAACTTAATGTCGTGTTTGTATTCCATCAGGACTTTATTTACAAAAAACGTATGGAGAGCTAGCTCTGGCCCTCAAGCGGTAGCTGACCAAACCCTGATGTATCTGACACAGCTCTGCTTTGGATCAGGGTATTGGTGCCATCCCATGCCAGATAAAATGGAGACGTCCCATATGGCCACCCTGTGGATGCTAGAGAGTCCCCACTGTGTGTCCCCACTGTGTGTCACAGTGATGATGACAACATTCGAAAGGAGAACCTGGTAATAAGCTTGACCCTAAAAACTGGCCAGGCTAGTGCCATACCACATGCTGACAGGTGACCCACTCTTCCAGCATCACACCCTTTCCCCAGTCAGGAGAGTGTCTCTTGCTTCTAAGGCCAAGAGATTCTCTGCGATGGCCTCAGGAATAAACCTTTTAAGCGGAGGGAGAGAAGCCCCTGACCTTCCTGCCAGCTTGCCTTTGTGCTTGGCTGTGAGCCTGAGTTTCAAGGTCCTTACAAGACACCTGAAGTTCCAGGTTGGGGATCCAAGTGACAGCAGTCTCTAGGGCAGGTCTGAGGAGAAAGAGCTTCGTAAGACTCGGGAGTTCATTCAAGACTCAGCCACAAGAAATGATGCTGTTCCAAGGCATTCAGGTAATAGTGACACGGCGGACATGCAGGACAGAGCTGTCATGGATGTGGGTGACTGCAGAGGAGGCTGCTGTAACTGAACTGTAGGGTGGGGGAACTCAGCAGGGTTGTAACTCGAGACAGTAAGGCTGTCAGTTGAGTCTAATGAACCGATGCTCCAACTAAGGAGATTTCCAGCTGCCCTATGTGTTACCTAATTTCTTTAAGCTTCTTATCATTGCTATGGATAAACATAAACAAAAGACTCCCCACACAGGAAGTGTTAGCAATGTTAAAAATAGAACCCTCACTTCTGGATGTATATCCCAGAAAAGCAGGGTCGTAAGATAGATAGATGGATAGATAGATAGATAGATAGATAGATAGATAGATAGATAGACCTGTGTGTCAGTGCTCACCACAGCCTTATTTGCAGCAGCCACGAGGTGGGGGCAACTCTGTGTTCAGTGAAGACCGCAGATGTTGAACTCCTGCTTTTTGTGCTTTGCTTGTGAGATATCCCTACAGACTCATGAACACTTAGCTGTTCTTGTGGTCCTTGGCTGGTGGCAATGTTCTAAGAGATTGTGGAATCTCTGGAACATAGAGTTCTGGCTGCAGTGGTAGGGAGGGCCACGGGGATGGACTTTGACCATTATAGGCTGGCTGCAGTTCTAATCTAATCTCTATGTTTCTTTCTTGGTCTACAGAGAGATGAACAAGGAACCTCACCTCAGATGAACACTGAGTCCCACCTCTGCCTTCCTGGCTGTGGCACACTGTACCCTCTCAGCTGTGAGCCAAAATAAACCCTTCCCTTTCTTCTTTGTCAAGTATTTGGTCACAGCAGTGGAAAAGGAATGAATACAAGGATATATATGCACACAACAGAGTATCATTCAACCTTTGAGACAGGTGAGGTGGTACACACCTTTCATCAGAGGCGGGCAGATCTGAGTTCAAAAGCCATAGCTTTACACAGAGAAACCCTGTCTCCAAAAACAAATATATATAAAAAAAATCAAAACAAAACAAAAATTTTATTCAGCCTTTAAAAGGAAGAAAATCCTGACACTACAGTGTAAACAAACCTTGAAAACACTACAAATTGAAATCAGCCCCTCTCCCTCCACGATACCTACCTGCACGAGAATCAAAAGTAGTAAAAAAATAAATAAATAAAAATAAAAAACCAACATAGAAACAGAGAGGAGAATAAGCTAAGCTTGCTGGGCTTGAGGGCTGGTAAGCATCTAATGTTTGCAGCAGAGTGTAGAATTTTGGTCCTGATGGACAGGGAGGCACTGGGGTTTGTTGTACTCCAAGATGAATGTAGGGAATACTGCTACACTTTGCAGCTTGGGGAGGGAGAATTTTATCCTCTATGGAGTTTGCTACAATAAGCAAAAGATAAAGCATCCAGACATCCTCGATTCCAACACAATTTAATTTCCAGAGTCTCCAAGAGGGGAAAGAGAAATGTTAAGAAATGAGGTAACTCATGTTTGTAACCCCAGCTACTGAGAAACCTGAGGCAGGAGGATTATGAGTTTGAGGTCAGCTTGGACTAGAGTGAGTGACAGGAGAGGGAGGAGACCAGAGTGGAATAAAATTAAGTGGTAGCAACAGTCAAAGTGACCCATCAGAGGTGAAGCCATGACTGTGACTACAGGCACCTGTCAGGATCATAGAGGTTTTCCTTCCTTTTCCATGGTGTCTTACCTATTTACAGCATAGAATCACAGCTAGTCTGGAACTCTTTCTTTACCCAGTCTGGCTTCAAACTTTTAATCCTCCTGCCTCAGTCCTGGGTGCTGGGATTACAGGAATGAGTTCACACTCTGTGCTTGCCCTGATTATTGGAAAGACGTTTTTACGGGGCATAGAGTTCTAAAGTTCTCTTTTTTAAAACGTTATCTTTTATTTTTCTATTTCCTCCGCTGTTTCTGCGAAAAGCTAGCCACTGTTTGCTGTACTTAGTATATATAGTTATATGAAGTTATACTTTTTAATTTTATTTATTTATTTATTTATTTATTTCCAAGATAGGACTCCTCTGTGTAGTTCAGGCTGTCCTGGAAATGGAACTGACTTTGTAGACCAGTTTGGCCTTGAGTGGGCAGAGATGTTCCTGCCTCTGCCTCCCTAGTGCCAAGGTGACAGGGTGAGTCACCAAGTCTAGCCCAAGTAGTACCTCTTTCAGTAGGGCTTGTAGTTTACATTGAGTGTTTGTAAGGCTAGGTTGCTGGTTTAAATAGTGTGGCCACCTGCTGGAGAGACAAGCAGTGTTTATCAGAAAATTTAATGCATACCAAACACCAAGGCATTGTTAAACAAAATGGCAAATTACTGGGCCTTGTGTCCCAGGAAGTTATTGAACTTGCTTCCCACACCCCCATTCAGTGGCATTCCCACAGTTAGAGGCTCAGTCAAAGGCTGCAGATTGTGAGGCAGCCTAGCAGATACAAACATGTCTGAGCAAGACAGGAAGTCACCCACAGATACAGGCGCCTGAAACTTACACACCTTGTTAGGTCAGTAAAAACTGTTTAAGAGCACACTCTTTTTTTATGTTGTTTTTTTTTGTTTTTTGTTTTTTAAACAGGGTTATCTCTAGGTATCCTTGACTGACCTGGAATTCACTCTGTAGACCAGGCTGTCCTAGAACTCAGAGATCTGCCTGCCTCTGCCTGCCGAGTGCTGGGATTAAAAGTGTTTGACACTACCCCCACCCTGGGCATGAATACACTTTTTGTAGATGGCCGTTGTGTGCACGCCACACAACATTGGTCCCTAAACCTAAAAAGCTGAGACATCTTGGCATTTCCTTCCCACTAGATCTTAGAGACAACCTGTTTTAACTGTGGAACATTCACTTATGATACCGGTTGGCTCAGGAAGATAGCGTGGTAGCAGGTTGAATTAGCTTCAATAAAAATCTTTTATCTTAGCATTGAAGTGAGAGACCAGGTTAGACCCCCTGGTAGGTGAACAGATGGGGAAGAGACCGTGGCTAGGTAATAAAGGGGGAGAATTTCTAAGATGGCTGCCTTCTTCATCAGCTTCCTGACTAGAGACAGAGCTTAGCAGCTCTTGTCTTTCATCATAGGCCCCCACTGCTAGACTGGCTGAGTTCAAGGCTGCACCAGGATGTGGACCACCTTATCTGTCTTCAAACTGAATGACATAAGAGAAGAAAATTCTTCACAGGTTTTTAAATCCCAAGGCCTCAAAGAGAGATGAGGAAGGGTCTTCTCAGTGGTGGTTTGAATATGTTTGGCCTAGGGGGTGGCACTATTTGGTGGTGTGGTCCTGGTGGAGTGGGCCTTAAGACCCTCATCCTAGCTGCCTGGAAGCCAGTCTTCTCCTGTTTATTTCAGAACAAGATGTAGAACTCTCAGGTCCTCCTGCACCATGCCTACCTGGATGCTGCCATGGTCCTGCCTTGATGATAATGGTCTGAACCTCTGAACCTGTAAACCAGCCCCAATTAAATGTTGTCCATTATAAGAGTTGCCTTGGTCATGGTGTCTGTTCACAGCAGTAAAACCCTAACTAAGACAATCTCTGTGTGTGCCTGCTGTGTGTGTTTCCTCGGTGCCGATACGAACCTCGCTTCCTTTCATGGCTGATAATTGATAGGTGCTTGACATTTCTCCGGAGGCTACCTGTTGGACTTTAGCCTTTCCCCGCCTTGTTTTTAACTGGCAGAGAAAAACAAACTCGTTTCAAGACCTCTAGACTGCATCAGTATTTAAAAAAAAAAATAAAATCCCTTGAACACACTGTACAGTCAGAGTGGATTTTGCAGTTCCTGAAAAGAAAATGTTCAGCGTGTACTCTTGTGTCCTGCCAGCCTGCCAAAACTCCGCCTGTTGTCTCCGGGGCTCTGTAACCAGCACCCCCTCCCACTTCCTGTCCTGTCACGGTGGCTGCTGCTGCTGCACCTGCCCCTGCCCACCCGTGATCCACCTGTTTGTCTTGCCTTGGTCTTTATGCAGCTTCTTGGATTTAGGGGTTGACGTCATCCATCAGGGTTTAGACTAAGGGGGGAAAAATTTCTGTTTGTCGGGTTCCTCTCCATTCTGTTTACTCCTACCTTGTGAATCCCGGAATCAAGCTCAGGGTGTCAGGCTTGTGGGTGAGCATCTTCTCCAATGGGCCCATGCCACGGCTCCCTGTTTTGTTTCTATTAGCCTCCCAACCCCAACTTTTGCTTTTCTTTTTAAAATATATGTTTTGTTTTTATGGATATTTTTTGCTTGAATAGATGTATTTGCTTGAATGTGTCTATATACTCGATGCCCACAGAAGCCAGAGAAGGTTAGCTCTCCCAAGACTGGAGGGACAGCCTGTTGTGAGCCACCATGTAGGTGCTGGGAATTGAACCCTGGTCCTCTGGGTCCTCTGGTCCTCCAGAAGAGCAGTCAGTGCTCTTAACCACTGAGCCATCTCTCCAAACACACTTTCTGTTCTCTTTATACCAGTTACCCCCATCCTTCTTTTTCTTTTGCTGTGCCTGGCTTGTAGTTTAAATTATCCAGCAAGGTCTTCTTTGTGACTGTTGCCACTGGTCTTTTTCTCTTGTTTCATTTTAAAGGCAGAATCTCCTAGTCTGGCCTAAAACTTGATATGTAGCCACAAATGACCTTGAAGTCCAGGTCCTCCTGGCTCTGCCTCTCTCTCTCTCTCTCTCTCTCTCTCTCTTTTTTTTTTTTTTTTTTTGGTTTTTCGAGACAGGGTTTCTCTGTGTAGCCCTGGCTGTCCTGGAACTCACTCTGTAGATCAGGCTGGCCTCGAACTCAGAAATCTGCCTGCCTCTGCCTCCCAAGTACTGGGATTAAAGGCGTGTGCCACTACCGCCCGGCCTGGCTCTACCTCTTAAATGCTAGGATTACAGACATGTGCCACCAAACTCCAACTGTTCTTTCTTAAAAATGTCCTTGCCAGCTATATCTGGCATCCCAGCTCAGGGGAAGCTGAGGCAAGAAAATAGTGAGGTTGGCCTCAGGAAACATGGGGAGAACTTGTCTCAAAACAAAGCCCCATGCCAGGCAGTGGTGGCGCATGCCTTTAATCCCAGCACTTGGGAGGCAGAGGCAGGCAGATTTCTGAGTTCCAGGACAGCCTGGTCTACACAGAGAAACCCTGTCTCGAAAAACCAAAAACAAACAAACAAAAAAGCCAAAGCTCCAAACAAAACACATAAAACTGAAACTTAGGTAAAGCAGCTCCTGGGAGCCTTGAGGAAGCCCAGTTCTCCTAACTTCATGCAGGCTCACACTCCTGTTTGTGGGACACTTTCATGACTAGGGACTTGTAGCCGCCTGTGGCCACAGGTCATCTGGGTTCTCCAGAAAGGGGGGCTGGGAGCAAAAGGGGGACAGAGGGCGAAAAGAGATGAAGCCAAGACAAGTATTTTGATCAAGGCTCAATGTTTTAATGTTCAGCTCTCAATTTAAAGGGGAAGCCCTAGCTCCACCACCAAACTCCTTCTTGCTTCAGTCTCTTCGGGGCGTGGGTGAGGGGAGTCCATCCTAAATCACAGTTGGAGGTATCTCAGGGCAAGCTCAGCGGGCAGTCTATTTTTTTCAGCTCCTGTAGCAGACTGTGGGTTGCCAAGGTTAACACCTCCTGAGTCCTATTATTTGGTCTACAGTAGTAAAGGAGATCCTTCAGGCCTGCTCAAGGCTGGGGGAAGGGCACAATTCCCCCTTTTTAGTTTTATAAAGATGTGCAGTCTCAGTAGCTGGATGTGGCACAAGATTTTATCCTGTCTAGGGTAAAGAATGGCTGGGCGACCATGCCTGGCTTAGGTCGGTGTCTATATTGTTCCTATATTATCCGTCTTCGAGGAATATATATATATATCGTATTGATGTATGCCTCTGCCTTAGGTTTATAGGAGCTCAAGAACACTCTTACCCATCTTTGGCTAACCGGCCATCATTGGCACAGTCTTTCCCATTTAGACCAAAACCACGTTCAGACCAAAGGACCTGTGAGCATGGACTCGATGCAGTTTTTCGTAGCGATGGATAACTGCCATGATGAATAGCCGAGCTTGCTGAGAGCGATCCTGTGTGAGGGCAATCAATCTGCTTAAAATACAAGGTCCAAAGGTTAAAAGCAACATGATTATCTAAGCAATGTAGAAAAAAAAAAGTTGAAAGCGGAAATGTCTCAGTGTCTAATTCAACTGTTGGTTAACAGGGAGTAGATGCAAGTCTGGCCACCAGGTATATAAGTGGGTGGCTTTAAGTATTGATAAAACACTTACTCTCCAATAAGAGCGCAGACTACATGCCAGGTTAAACAAGCTGGCTGATAGGGATTTTGAGACATCTTCATCATTATAATCATAATTATTAGGCTCAAGATCTGTGTCCACTTGATGGATCAATCTTTCAGGTAGCCATCGGGCTCTATTTTCTTTTTCTGAAAAAATACAGACTGAGCCACGACCCCAAATTAAAATAGGGTCAGGACCATTTTAAGTATTAGTTAGGGGATCTCTCCATATGACCCTGGCAAATGAGCTGGAAGTGACTGGATGCCAGTGGCGATCCGCTGCAGACTGACCTTTAGCATCAGTTTGCAGAAGATTTAAAACAAGACAAAAGCAAGGTGTGCTTTTGGTGACCTTGGGGGGTATAATTCCCCCTTTTTAGTTTTTAAAATTCAGATTTGGGTGTTGTCACATGGCCCAGACTTAGACTTCTCTTGTAAATTAGTAAATGCATTCATTTACGTATTTGTACATGTGGTGGAGGGCAGGGGGTGTGTGGGTGTCGATCAGAAGTTAACTTATGAAAACTGGCTCTCGACTTCTCCTAAGTGGGTCCTGGGGATTTGAGCTGAGGTCACCAGGACTTTATCCCCTCAGTCTTCCCACTGATCCTCAGAATTCTTACATTATTTCACTTGCAGTGGATGTCAGACACCGAGATTTACAAAGCATTCAAACATCTGCATAGACATTAACAGGGTTAGTGGCGAACAGCTGGAGCTGTTATTTTTCTTACTTGTCTGCCTCTGTGACCTTAGTCAGTTCCAGATGGCAATCTGCAGAAGCCCAGGACTCCTAGAGGAATGCAGAGGGAAAACTAAGGGTTAAAGTTCAGCTTGTGACTTTTGAGATGAGGTTTCACACAGGCTATATCTTGAAACACAGGCATGGGCCAGACCAAAGACTTTTAGATTCCTCCAGCTTCTGTCCGCTCAGCATACCTGGATGTGCTCAGTATACCTAGATTCGGAGATTTAGAGGCAGGGGAAGAGCACATTGGAGTCTAGTGCAGGGGAAACAGGACTTGCAGAAAGCCTGCTTTTAGGGTTTCAGAATTGAGGGGAAGTTATTTTGATAATCCTTCCACCTGGCCTCATCAAGCCCACACCAGGTTTAAATGAGAGAGGATCTCAAGCCTGCTAGAGAGGGGTCCTTGAGTCTTTTTGTGGGTACTCTGGATCTTGAGTGGATAAAGAAGAACGGAAGAGGCTTGTGTCCCCTTAGAGAGTATGTAGCGTGTGGCCAGTGGCAACTGGTGGGCTTCATTGGGACCTGCGACAGGAATCGTGCCTTCAGCACACAAGGCTAGGACGTAAGGGGAGGCTGAGTGAAGCCAGAATGATCTTCATGACACTGAGGCCAGGTGACATCAGAGCTCCAGCTGCCTCTGAGCAACTGAAGGATGCCTGGCTGCAGACATAATCTCTGCAGCCACTCCGCCCAGGTCACTAAGGGAACCAGGTTCCATCAGGCGGGCCAGCAGAAGGAGGACAATTCTATTGTTCCAAAGAAGTCTTTCCTTGTGGCTGCACAGCCACAGCCAGCCACAATTTCTCCTCTGTGGCAGAAAAACAAGGGAAGGATTAGAGACAAAATCTGGGTCTGTTTTTCTCCACAGGGATGAAGGTTTGCAAAAAGGACTCTTTAAGTAAACACACCACACGCCATACCGTATTAGGCAGAGTTTATGTCATCCTGGCCAGACAGCAGGGGCCAGTGAGGAAAAACTGGCGTCAGTCGCAGAAAAGGAGAAGCGTTGTTTGTGAATTACAGTGTAGGTGAAATGCAGACCCCGCTGTCCATGTGGGAGAGTCACACTGTGTGAGGGCAGGTTTGGTGGCACACCCCTGTGGTTCCAGCACTAGAGAGACCCCCAGGCTGAAGGATTCTTGTGAGTTTGAGGCCAGCCTGGGCTACCACTGTGAGTTCGAGGAAAACCTGGGAGGGAGACTGTGTTACAAAACAAAACTTCAAAGGATGTTTGTCTTCTGAACAATTCAGTAACTGCTGAAAACATGTGATTCACACTCATTTTTAATGCGGCTCAGTGTGCAGGGCACACACATGGACATGAGGCAGTATGTCATGGTTATAATAGCAAGTCCCACCCTTTAAAGACTTTGAGTTGGCTCCCGTAACAAAGAAGATAGGCTTCATCCATCAAACCCTGTTGTTCTTGAGAAAAGAGCAGACAGCTGCTCTTGCCACAGATGTTACAAATGTTCCTCCCACAACTATTCATTGTTGCAAATGCTCCTCCCGCATCGATCCGACTGGAAACACTCGTTGGTGAGGACTTTATGGCCTTGTAGATATGCATTGGCTAGGACTGGACTAAACAGAACCAGTTTTTCTCTTCCATCTCCAGTTAAAACCATTTACAAATGTACTGGGCTGGGATGTAGCTCAGTGGTAGAACACTTTTTATATAACGTCCTGGGATGGATCACTATCACCATAAAAACAAAACAAAACAAAACAAAAATGTTTGGTTTTGGACCCTGGGACAAAGGACTGAGGTATATATTTTACATACCAAAGCAGACCTGGCCTCCAGATTCTCCCAGCATCCCTCAGTCTTTACTGGCATATCCTGCCCCCAACTTTCCAGCCTAGGGGTTAGGCTGCTCTTCCCCGAGAGCCTATTTCTTATGTAGTCCAGACATTTTGGTCTTTCCCTCTCTCTCCTCTTCTCTCTCTCTGTGCCCTCACTCTTTTCTCCCCTAACCCCCATGGCGACTACCCTGGTCTCGGTCCTTGGGGCCAGTAAGCCTACCCGAGACCAGCTTCCCAATAAACCTGCATTTAATATAATCTAATCTGGCTTGAATTGACTCATTTCACCAGCAGAGAAATAAATCATCAAAAAAACTTAGAA